GTTAATATATTGTTACGTCCGGACTCGTGGAGAATTGAGTCGGGATGAAACGCAACTTATACTTACCTCGAAACACACTCTCTCTTTCTTTTGCGAGACAGGTGTTTCCGAGTCAAACGAACAATACAGGGCCTTAGACAGGTCAATGACCGGAAGGGTCGCTCTTACTCTATCGAAAGGCCGTTCGCTCGGCGGTCTCTTTTTGGTAAAGGAACTGAATCCTTATTACCTGGGACGGGACCCTGTGCGATTTTGGATAACAGGAAGGAGGTTGGGTTAATGAATTACTCGAATTTAAAATTTAACGTTACATTTATTCAAAAATAAAATGAATGATTTTAAAAAGATAAAATTTAACAATGAATCATTTAGCTCGATTTATAAAACTGTTATAAAATAAATTTTCTTAAAATCTAATGTGTAATTGTGTTCGTGTGTGTATGTGAAGGTAAAAGAAAATTATGCATTCGCGGGTGATACATTAATGCGGAGGACATCAACCGGAATTAAACGGGGAAATTAAAATCTGCATTCCGGTTGGAAGTTTACAATAATCAGTTTTAGGAAAATTACATGAAATAAAAGTGTGAATAGAAAGATAAGGATAGAAAAATTATTAATTCACGGACGCCCGAGCCAGAAGTTTCCGTATCGTTCGATTCTTTCCTATTCTTCGCGGTTTTCGCCAAGACTTTAAAATGTTTCGCAGACATAGGTTTGAAGGTTTGTTTTGTGGTTGACCTTTTAATTAAAAGAAACAGTTCGAGAATTATTTTTAAAGAAATCAGAAGAATAAAATAAATAAAATGAAATAAAGTTTTATATTTTAAATAAAACAAATCTTAATAATAAAAATAAATTAATATAGAAATTACAATAATGGGGGTTACTATAGAAATGATGGAAGAAGGTTTTCCTTCAGGTCTGGCGGCTAAGTATGAATCCAACCATGACATTACGTCAAGATCTTGGCTAATCACACTTGGGGACTCGCGAAAGGGAAAAGATTACTTGAGTCTAGCAATAAGCGAGAATGCCAATCTTGATAGTTATTAAGATCTCGGCTAATCAAGCTTAAGGACTTGCGAAAGGGAAAGAATTGCTCGAGTCTAACAATAAGCGTGAATGCCAATCTTGACAGTGTTCAAGATCCTGGTTAATCAAACTTACGGATTCGCAAAAGAGAAAGGATTACTCGAGTCTAGCAATAAGCATGAATGTCAATCTTGACAGTGTTCAAGATCCTGGCTAATCAAACTTACGGACTCGCAAAAGAGAAAGGATTACTCGAGTCTAGCAATAAGCATGAATGTCAATCTTGACAGTGTTTAAGATTCTGGCTAATCAAACTTACGGACTCGCAAAATGGAGAGATGATTCAAAGGAGAGGAGATAGAATGTTTAATAAGCAGAGATAATTTAATAATACAACTAATAAATATTTATGTATGAATACTAATTAAAGATTCAAATTATTAGCAACAAACTGTTTCCTTTGGGAGGAAGGAAAGGAAGATGAGAAAATGATACAAGAGAAAAAAAAGCAAGAAAAGAAAAGAAAATTTTTGGACTCACTACTCGCTGTGTGCGAAGGTGACGAATCTAAAAGTTTCGTTGGACAAGCAAACCAAGGTCTATCTCGTGGACTAGGGCTGTGCGGAAAGGGTGGCTCAGAGATTCGCTCAGTTGTTGTAATGTTGATTGTGATGTTAATTCACTTGACACTAAATGTCACTTATCACCAATGATATTCTAAGTCTTTTGATTGTATGGGAAACCGCATTCTGCACTCGCACAACTGTAAGAAGCGCGAAGAAAGAAAAAAAAGAACCGTGGAGATTAAGAATTGAGTATTTACTGCATCGGAAATTGAAGACAAAAATGGGTTGAAAGTTAAAAGCAGACTGGATAGAAGGCTTCGAATCGAAAGGCGAAGATGAACTAACTTTTCTGAGGGAGGATTTCGCGTACATCGAATCTTAGCGTCTCTTCGCGTACCCTCTCCATTAGGCAGGCAATATTCTTTTTTAACGAATCAATCTTTAAAATGGTACCCCTCTCATGATTTGAGGGCGTCTCCCTTTTAAAAGAAGGTCCAGGAGGTTGCGCCTATTGGTGTAGGCTTTTGTTTTTAAAAATTAAGTCTTGCCCACTGGAGAGTCCGCCTTGATCGGCTAGGTTGACAGTTTTATTATTCACTTGAGTTTTATCTCAAGCAGATAACGCGCAAGGGTGGTCTAGCAGGCGAGCACGTGGTGTCAAGTGTCACGAGTTTCAGTCGCAGATCGTAATTACGTCGATAAGACATCGCTCTAATTCTAAGAAGGGCTTTTGTTCGAGGCTCTTCTTACATCGTGTTTTCACTAGCAGGCTTTCGAGGAAAAAATATTATTTGATCCGTTTGTTTGTCTCTTGCATGCCCACTATTTAGATTTCGAGCCTTCTCATGGTTTGGGTATCTTTTAGTTACCGTTTAAAAAAAAATTCCTGGTCTTCTAGCGGACCTTTGTGTTCGAATATTTATCGCGCATGGTTTACGTTCTGAAATGTTAGTCTCGCTTGCTAGATATTCTTTTAGTTTAATGTTTATGTCAAATGCAAAGAATTCCAGAGCGTAAGCGTTTAATATTACGTGAAAGAAAAGAATCGTGGAGTCCACCGGACGTAACAGTATCATGTATTTAATAACAAAAAAGACGAAACCGTAGAATATGTCAACAAATTATGTATCTATTGTAACGAGAAAGACTAGATAGATATACTTATATTACATTTATTATAACATTTATAAAATATAATACAAACTAAAATAACTTTACATAACAGCTAAAAAGTGCTTATAACAGCTAAGTTTTTTTTACACGAAATTTTTTTATATTTATTTTTTTAACCTTAATTTTTGAATTTTTATTTTTTTAACTTTAAATTTTTTAATTTTCAAAAATTAATTTTTTGTGTCTTGTATTTTTCTTTCTTGAATATACCTTTGAGTATATTTGAATTAAATAAATATGAATAATTATTTTGTCACGTCCAGACTCGAGGAAGGATGAGTCGATAGAAGTAGTGGTAGGTGATGTTCATTCGATGTTTAGAAAATCGATGTTTTCCATTACAAGATCGATTATTTTAAATCGCTGCTTTTACTAATCGATGCATCGAGTAAGAATCGATTATTAAAGAATAATATCGATGTTTCTTGAACTAATTTCGCTTCGCGAAATACAGATGTCGCCTATCGTCCCCACGTTAAAAAAACTCAAACCAAAGGATACTCAACGGAAAAAAAAACAATAGAAAAAGAGTATTTTTCTTTCCGCATTGTTGGGTAGTGCTCAGTGCTCTTCGCCAGTGTTCGAATTTTGTGTCGAAGTGTTTCTCCTTTACGCATTATTTATTATAAACGTGTTCGAATTGTGTGTTGAAGTGTTTCTCATTTACGCATTATTTATTATAAACGAAGGAATGGATCCTTCATTAGAGGAGCCCCCGAAAGTTAGACGTAATTATCCGTACGTCGTTTATTTTCGCATAAATGACTAGGAATCGTTTTGCGTTCGCAATCTCTCTTTATCCGACTATATGCCATTAATATGTAAGTAAATTACTATATATTATACTGTTGATCGTTGTTTTGAATAGCACTTTTTAGATGTAATATATATATATATATATATACAGAGTATCATTCTATCTTTGTTGTTCACTGGTATTGAAAAAAGATAGAATGATACTCTGTGTCGCACTGAGTCGTTGCTGGAAAGCACCCTATATATATACGGATATAATTTTACAGATGACGATCAACACACAGTGAAATATATTCAATCCCTGATCATTTCCGGCACGATAAACAATGAGGATGAAGATATCAATGTTATTTCACGGTCAAAGGACGGCGTAAATTTGTATGCGCAATATTATTGTGTCGATTTTCTGAGAATCGTAAATAACGTTGTCTCCATGACGTAATATTTTTTCATGTTTCTCTTCCAGTGAGTCTATCGACTTGTCGTTATTGCATTTGGAGGAAAGCCAGATACCTCAGGACATGGTACTCCTAGAGTAATTTGAGGCTCTTCCGGATATCGATGTCAATGGTTTGTATTCTCAAGATACATATAAAAAATTATTAAGGGAATGTATTAATAATGTTATGCATATATATTTTGTACATAAGCAGATCCTGCTATCCCAAGCACACAAATACAAACTTTCGATTCCGAATTGGAAATTTCAGTTGGGTCACCGCAGCAGTCGCAGTTCTCAACTATAATTGATGTTCCGATCCACTGTAAAAAATCGTCCATAATGGATACGCCACCACCAGATTACTCGAAAAAGCTATAAAATATAAAAAAGAAATCTAGAGTCAATACCAAGGCGACTGTCGAAAAAAAATTGACCACACTCACACAGACTAACAATGAGTGTTTTCGAACCAAAGCTTCATCTCTTTGCGGACCATCACGAACATCGGAAGACGGTAATTCGTATTATAAATGTATAGTTGAATATAATCGTTCATTTCCGTTAATCTGTGTCTATTATTATATCTTATAGCTCTTGATGTCCAAAGTTCGAGAGCTTTTTCATCTTCGACGCCATTGTCTAGCGAATCGACTAGCACGTCCACAGTCAGTCATAAAGCTGCAACTTGCATCGCAATATCGTAAGTAAAAATATATATTTGATACATAACACTTCGACATACCTAACAATATGTACTTTTCACAGGGAAGACGTGTTTAAGAATCGCATCTCCAAATTGAAAAGTCATGTTTGGGGCAGCTTCACGAAAAGAGATGCAACGACTGCTCAATGCCAAATCTGTATGAAGACTCTCAAACACGGTGGAAACACTACGAATTGAATGCAGCATCTTGCTCGAAAGCACCCTATAGCAAAACTCAAGAACACATCCATTGCCACAGGAAGCAAGCAGAAGGCCGTTTCCTATTTAGATACCGTGGCAAGTAAAAGGAAGAGATTATCGGAAAATGAAGATAGTACTTCAAAGAACGCAGACACAGAGATACAAAAAAAAACGTTCAAAGGCCTGTAAGTACATAAATCTATTCGAGATCGGAATTTTGCAATCGTCCATTACTTTAATAAAAATCCATTTTGGGGCTTTTCTCAGATCAAGCCGGTAGTTGGTAGTGATCAACAAATCGACAACGTCTTTCGACGAGCTCACTCATCCGCAGGTAATGATATATACATATGTTGAGTTCAACGTGATGAAAGATCACAATGGCTGCGTTCCGTTTCATGCATCATGCGCATCATGCATGAAACGGAATGTAGCCAAAGATTATAGTGATTGACTATATTTTTATATTCTTAATTGCCAGATAGAGGAACGTCATCTAATAACATTACCAACGCCATACTGTATATGCTCGCTATCGAAAACAGTCCTCTCTCTGCTGTCGAAAACGAAGGGTTCCGCACTCTTATGAAGACGACAGCTCCGCGGTACAAGATCCCATCAAGACGCACTATCGCTCGTTACATGGACGATAAGTACGAATACCTGCATGGCATGTTCAAATGCGAGATTGCTCAAGTTACTGCACTAACCCTCACATGTGATATCTGGTCCGATATTTCAAATCGTGGGTATTTAGGGATAACGGTACACTATTTACATGATAATAAAATGAATAGTGAGTGCTTGGGCGTATTACCGTTAGAGGAAAGCCATACGGCACATTACATTTCGGATATTCTTATGGAGGGAATTCAGTCCTTTGGAATCAATCGAGAAACCGTGACAGCGATCGTGACTGACAATGGCGCGAACATTAAAAAAGCAACAATAGATTGTTTCGGTGCTTCCAAACACATTGAGTGTTTTGCTCACGCTGTATCGCATATTGTGCCCGATGCAATAAGTGCTACGCCTGGGATCGAACAAACAATCGCGAAAGTAAAATTCATTGTCACGCTAACGAAACGCAGCGTCGTCGTTTCGGACGAATTGCGGCGTCTGCAAAAACGAGATGGAAAAACGGAAGCAACCCTTCTCAAGTTTAAACAAGACGTTCCGACGAGATGGAATTCCACTCTAATTATGATCGAGCGATTTCTGGAGCTCCATGAGTACGTATACCCGATCTCTTTTAAGTGCAAAGGGCCCGTAGAAATGCTTACGCGCGAAGAACTCGATTTATTGCGGGATATAATATTAGTTTTAAAACCTGTGGAAAATGTAATAACCGAGAGCAGCGCAGATACATACGTCACATCGAATTTGATAATTCCGATTATCCGCTGCATGATGATCGCTATTAGAACACGCAGTCTGTGCACTGAAATAGGACAACAGTTCCAAGAAAAACTTATGAGTCTCGCGAGCTGCTCGCGATATTGACCATTCTTGATCCGCGATTTAAAAGACTGCACTTTCAAAAACCTCTTCACACCGCGACAGCAGTCAGGAAGATCAATGCGGTTATTAAAACGGCTCTATATCAAAACGAAAGTCCTACCACGCGGGCGATGTAAGACGAAAATAATTCGCAGATAGCAAACGGTAGCGTATGGAGTTTCCACGATAAACTCATCGTCTCCGAAAATCAGACGGTACCTTTCGATTGCCACGATCTCACTCTCGAACTTAGACAATATCTGAATCAGCCCGTTGTCTCGCGATCCGAAAACCCTATTGAGTACTGGAACAAGTTGAAAATCGCGAATCCGACATTACATTCATGCGCTCTAAAATATTTAAACATTGTTGCTACATCCGTTCCGTCAGAGAGATTGTTTTCGAAAGCCGGCGCGATTAAGGCTGAACGTCGTAGTCGACTTACAGGAGACAGATTGAATACATTAGTCTTCCTTAGTTCCCTCAACAAAAAATATTGGCATATTTCATAAACGGCGTTCATAACTAAGTTTAATCATGTGATAACTTGTGCACCTGTATTTGCTGTGATTTTATTATTTAAGAAGCATGAACTAATGTTCTTACTGTACATAAAATTGATATGTACAAGAATTTTAATAATATAATGTGATATAATATCAAATTTCTTGAGATTTTAAAAATTACAATCTGCTTCTAAAACTTCTGTTTACTCCCATTGCACTATTTTTTATCCAGATGTGGTCCATTTTTTAACGTACAGGCAATATTGACTGAGTATTGCATAAACACTGTTCACAAAACTTATTTTTATCAGCATAAAACTAATAAATATTTTCTTTGTGTAGGTATATATTTACAGATAGATACAACTCTGGAATCACAAAAACAAAGTTGGAATTGTAAATCATCATACAGCACTCAAATCATCACTAGGAACATCAACATCTCATGCTCAATTTTATATATGGCCATGAATAAAAAGAATATTACTTAAGATGCACTAGTTTGAAATTGGTTTTATTTATTTTAGTACGTTTTTGTTTATCGACATTTTAGTCGCTTTCTATTAGTTTCTTGACGGTTTCTTTCCCCTTTTAACTGCAGTTATTTAAATCAGGCGCGCTTTATGCCGATCAAAATAGAATCGATTAATATCGATATATTTGGCAAAACATCAATTTTCAAACATCGGTTTTATTTTAAATCGATTATTTCCGAATCGATGCTTTTTTTAAACATCGCCCATCACTAGATGGAAGGGCGCAACATTTATTTTTTATTATCCCGAAGTTAAACGTCTCGTGGCGTTTGGAATCGGGTCAAACGAACTGACAGGTCTGAAAAGTAGGTAAACGACTGAGTCGCTATTACGCTGGTTATTCAGACGTTCGTTCGATGGTCCCTTTTCGATAAGAGAATTTAATCTCTTTTACGCGGTATGGGACCAAGTGCGATCTTTCGACTAGAAATGAGTGGGGGTTTAATAAAGAGTAATTCTTTTATTTAAATTAACAAAGTATGAATTTATTCATATTTTAAAATAAATGATAGATGTACATGATTATATAAAAATGAGGTAGGAAGTAAGGATCATGGAGAGAGAGTGAAAGGAGATTTAAATTTATTTCAATTTAGTCCTGGTAGGACAAATCTGATTCTAAATCAGGTAGTTCTTCGCAGAACTCCTGAATGGCCTTTTCGAAATCGTCTGATTCCGAAAACTGCGGGGAAGGAGGGGTGAATTATTCAAGAGGATTGTAGATAATGACGAGAATGATCTCGGGGAGAAAGGCGGTTCAGGAGAAAGAGGTTCGGGGGAATATACTGAGGAGTAGCTGGGAGAAAAATGGTAAGGGGAAAGGGGGAGGTTGTAACTCTGCTAGGTTGTGAGCTTGTGTGTAGTGAGTCAATCATACTCCTAAATCTTTTTAAATTAACGATAAGATTCACGAACGGTCGCGTCAACGCCTTCCGAGTCCTGCGATGGACTTGATTCATGGGCATCACAACACAGAGCAAGAGTACTCGGATTGAGAGTTACAGTAAAAGAGAGATGATGTGTTCGCGAGTTCTCTTTTTATAATCTTCTTTTTGTGGCTTATTCTAATTCTAAGAGTGGGAATCTTCCAAAACTTTGACGAATTGAATTTGCGCAGAAGTGGGGATTTTAGCTGTGTTTGTTGGGTATTTTGTTAGAAAATTTTATATTATCTTGAGGAAACGGGCATGGTTTCATCACCGATCTTTTACGTTGGTCTGTTTACTGAGCAATTCGTTTGTCTCACCAATCGACGATCATTGCCGATACTTCGCAGAAGGAAGAAATCGTGGAATCGCCAGGACGTAACAATTTAGATATAAATAATTTATTATTTATATATATGTATATAAATATTTTAAAAATATATAATAATTATACATTTGTACAATCAATTTTAAGTTCTACACTCTCTCTCATGCCATATATATATATATATATATATATAGGGTCCGGCCAGCGACATGGACCATATGTACTGATCAACCGATCTCCGTACACGGTGTTCAGATAATTTCTAACTATTACTGCGTTATGTGCTGGACATCCGTCTTGTTGAAAATACATGCTTCTTCGTATATCGTAAGGAACGTCTTTCATTAGTTGGGTCAAATTAATCCGCAAAAAATCGAGAAAAGATCGAGACGTTAGGTTTTCTTCGTAAAGATATGGTCCAATTAAATAACCGTTCAAAATGCCACACCAAACATTAATACTTATTTTGTTTTGAAAATTACGCATACGAGTCCAGTGCGGATTCTCCGTTGCCCAAAAATGTCGATTATAACGATTCACAATACCGTTATTCGTAAATTTTGATTCATCTGTCCACATTATTTTATTCAAAACTTCATGGTCTTCTCCGTAAGCAGTGATTAGCCATGCAATAAATTGTAGGCGTCGCGGACCATCAGTTAAGCGTAAATGTTGTATCAGTGTCATTTTGAATGGATGATACTTGTTCTTCTTTGCAATTCTGATTATACTTGTACGTGATATATCCATTTCTGCAGCCACTTCTTCAGTAGAAGTATGTGGATTAACTTCAAAATGGGCTAGTACTAACGCGGCATTGTTATCATTAGTCACTGGCCTAGCACGATTGACACGTTTTCCACATGGAAATTTGCCATGTACACGTAAAGAACGCTCAATATTATAAAAAGTTTTTGCAGAAAAATGAGCTCTATCCGGATATCGTTCCCTATACAAGGCCACTGCTTCGCGTGCATTTCTACATTCGCCAAACACTAGTAACATATCTACCTTTTCCGTATTACAATAGCGATTCATTATTAAGCGATTCAGGCACTCAGACACACGATAAACTGATAAGTTTACTGATCAGGTTAATACTAAACTACATATTATGGACAACATAAGGTCAAATTGCCTCTCTCTCTCTTCTCTCTCTCTCTCTCTCTCTCTCTCTGTCTGTTTACTATTTACGTTTCTAGTGAACTTCCTCGATAGCGAAGAATTACGCTTTAGCGAATTTAAAATGGTTTATTTTGTGTTGCAATGTAACTTAAAATAACATTGTGTGTACTCATTGAATTTGTTTTGCTATCCTCTACATTATTATTAAAAAAAAATACAATGGTTCCATGGTTCCATTTTAAGGTGACCTTGCTTTTTTATGGAAAAAAAAATATTTGGTCAATTTTTATTATTGCAATTTGTTGCCGGTTAGAAACTGAGAAACTGATGTTTATGACTTTTTTATGTCAGATTATTGTAAGTGCCTTAAAAATCGTGGCGACCGTTACGAGGACCACCCTGTATATAAATCTAAAAATATAAAAAAAATTTGATTATATTAATAGAAATATATAAAATGTTATTTCTTTAATCTTTCTTTTGAAAGGATTCTTTTTTAATCCTAAATTAAATAACTTTTCTTCGAAACATAATGTATGTGTACTGAATAAATTTGACATCTCGGGCAGATGTACAACGTTGTCAATATTCAATTTCACACGCTCGACAACCTAAAACATATATTTGTCTTTTTCGATATACGACGTCTTCTTTATCACACAAGTGTCTCCCTTGAATTTATCTATATTTAGAGGCTGAGATGTCTTGCAAATCAAAGAGTCGACACTTTCTCTAGTATCGCGATAAAAAATTTATTTTCCAGAAAACGCAGCTGTAAGCGTATAAAATACAAATTGTGTAATGATCCTCGAGAAATTTATTAGCTTTTGATCGATCGTAAAGCATTATATAAATATAAGCTTGAATTATTGTAATTATATTATTATTATTAATATTATTATTATTATTATTATAAATTATATTATTACTATATTTTCAAATTATCACATAAATTATCATAGCAAATTTGATTGAATTTTAAACATTATTTAGTTCATCGTGGCTTTATTCTGCTAGAATTAATTAAATATTTAAAGATTACGTTTTTAATGATGAATTGTTATTATTAATTATTCATCTCGAAAAAACTTTAATGAAAACCGATTTTAGCACGATTTCAATAAGTAGCAATTTTTTTCAATATTTTTTTCGATATTTTTTTTAATATATATTTTTTTCAATATATTCATATTATGTTGCAAGCCTTTAATTACGCTTTTCTGACTGCGTTCGATGAATGAATTTTTCACAAATGGATGTTATACTTATTAACATTTTTCGAATAATTGCATGTTGTGATAACGCCAGATATAACAATAATTACGCTATGTGTTTTATTTCGAAACAAGAATTATCGTAAATTATTACGATAATATTGTCAGATATTAATCGTTATATGGACTTCGAAACACGTAGACAATTTTTCTAGTGCAATACAAATAAATCATGCATTTCTCGGTCGTTTCGTATAAACGTAGCTGCAGAGTACTAACGATTGTTACCGCTTTAACGACACGTAGAAGCCATTCTGGATATCGCCATTTGTTTTGTTCACCTTCGGCGCGTACTTCGAATATCGATC